TCAGCGGAAACAAAGGAACGTCGATCTCGATCCAGAGCCGACACGTGACGTGACGTAAAGCAGTAAATTTTTTAACTAATTCGTGGACAGGGATCTTTGTAACTCCTTAATATACCGTTCACGTGCTCTGCGCGCACATGTATCAAGAACTCGAATTCTTAACTCCTTAATACATGTTTCTCGTGCCACGTGTATTTTAGTAAAATACGATTTTGAACTTTCGCATTGGACGAATCTCCAATGTTGCAATCTCTGACGAATCTATCTTGATGCATAGAACGATCTGTTCAGCGAATGAGCTAATCCTCTTTTTTGAAGGATCCAGGCTCGTTCAATTTTTATAGACTTTTCCATTTGCATTCTTCAATGACACGATCGTATCTCATCGATAGTATAATAGTTGACAGTTTATTAATATTTACTATCATCTTCCATCCAATATCTAATAACGAAATTGACAAATTGTGTAACGTCCTTCTTTTTAAAGGAACATCTAAACAGCGTAGTTTTAAAAACAAATTCATCACAGGGTCGTTAAACATACGACAAAATTGTAGATGTCAAGTAACGACACTTACTTGTCTTGGACTCGTAGAACTTCATGAGGATTGAGTAAAACAATTATGATATTATAGATATAAACGATTAAGCTTCATCAAAATTAAGCATATTCTATGAACAGAAATAAAAAAAAAATGTTATGTAATACATAGGTCTATATAATATAATAATGTTATAATACGTAATATAATATAGATCTAGAAACGCTTTAAAAGTTGTAACAAATATAATTTTTTCTAGCCATGTTTGGAAATGTCTGAATGCGTGGAAATTTCGAAATGGAAGCTAAATGAAATCAAATTCTTTTACATTTTTGTAAAACAGCGTTTACATTCATACATAACGTTCTCCTCTCATTTCAACTGCTGGAACATACCGATGAAGTTTGATCGTTCAAACCCGAGACACTATATAAGAAGGGCCAACTCGCGAATCTATGGATTTCCATTGCAATTACTATGTAAATTTCGCGCGCGAAGAGAGCGTGATAGACGTTAATTTTTCATATTTCGCGGGCAACGCAATGTTCATTTATCACCCTGCGTTTAACGTTTATAGAAAATCCCATCCTTGTTAGTCGAACAAGACGAACGACATACTGGCAAACGTCTGTTTAATAGAACTACGCTGATCCAAAGTGAAATACGAAATTTCTCGGCAGACCGGTATATGTAAATCCCGACTTATCTGTCTCCGGAGGAACAAA